TGGTAAACACTCGAGAATATACGAGAATTATCAACTAATATTTTTTATTGTTAACATTGAAAATGGTCAAATCTTTTAATCCGTGGAAATGATAGTCTGGAAATATTTTTTCAACCCAACTCACAGTCAAAATTTTAATGATAAAATTGGAATGTTTAAAATATAATAGACTTAAGCTTAAATCACGCTATTTCATTTTAGAGTGTAAAGAAATTTGATTGTAAATACAACTTAAAAGTTCTTCAAGGCTGAATATCAGCGAAATGAACATAGAAGGAACTATCTGTCAGTCATTTTCGTAAATTGATAGACAAAAAAATATAAAAAAGAGTTCATTTAAAGAATACTGGAGTGAATCTTATCTATTTTTTAGTTTAGTTATTGTTATAACTGTACTTTAATCTTTATAAACATCGTGTAAGAAACCTTACACCCTAGTAAGTGTCTAAAACGAATGTTAAATCAACTTCGTAAACCTTGCTTGTATCCTTCTCAATTTGGACTTGTAAAAATCAACAAAAGTAAATTATTGAATAAGTTTTTGTTTACTACTCGATTTAATGCGTGGTTAAATGGATAAATATAACATATCATTCCCTAAGGTCAAGCCCCCCAGTGGCACAGCGGAATGTCTGCGGACTTAAAACGCTAGAATCCGGGTTTCGATACCCATGGTGGGCAGAGCACGGGTAGCCCATTGTGTAGCTTTGTGCTTAACTTCAAACAAACAAAACCGTAAGGTTAAATTTTATTGCATATTCAAGAGAAAAAAAAAGATCTTGCAATTAGTGATAGCGCCATGTCTGTGTAAATTATTTCTATTTTCTTAGATTTTATTTCCATGTAAAGCGAATGTAATTTTTTTCTAGTTTTTAAAGGCTGTAAGTATTTTTGATGGAAACTATTTTTAATTTTAGAAAATAAGATGTTGTTAACTAAATACCTATTATTACTGAAACCGCTTTTGAAATTGAATTTTAGCATAAAACTTATTGAATATGTTATTAACATCTTAATACACTTTATATATACTTTTTAGTTATTAGGACTTTGGCAAAAATTAAAAGTAAATTTAAATTGTATAATTCCAGGCTGAAGGGTGGCACTTAAGCTACGAAGCCATATCATTCACATTGTTTCAACTGAAACCGATATTATGTACGTTGTCTCAACTGTCTATTGTCCTCCAGTGGCAAAGCTATACGTCTGCGGATTGACAACGCTAGAAACCGAATTTCGATACCCGTAGTGGGCAGAGCACAGATAGCCCATAGTGTAGCTCTGTGCTTAACTTCAAATAAACAAACAAACAACGTCTATCATGTCCATAAAATAATTTATCTATCTATATTTTTCAAGCGCATAAGATGTCTGAATCGAAGTGCTAAGTAAATGTAATGTGTAAAATAATCGTGCCATAAGATATAAAAATATAACCACTATGTGAAATGTCAGAACCTCAAGTATATTTATATGTCACAACCTTCAACTTTAGTTTATTAGTACAAGTAGAATGTCGATTATGTAGATATAAGGCTCCTTCCATGTCAAAAGATGGCATATAATCTCAATAAGTGTTTCGCGAGAATTCTTTTGTTTGCTTGTTTTAGAGCTTTGGTGTAAAGCTAAAAAAATGCAGCTTCGAGCTTTTTTATTTTTTATGGCGTTTTGACTCTTGAAAGCGAGACACAATTACATAAAGAAAAGAAAATTGACAGATATAATATTTTTTTTAAAGAGAAGACGAACATTAATTTTTACGTACTATTGGAAACAGACAAACTATGATGTAACTAGTGAAGCCTTCTTGGATTTAATCTGTGACCATATTGAACATGTAGGTAACGAACGACGTATATAAATCAGACATAATTAACGGTGATTTGCTCTAAGAAAAGTCTGACAAAAATTTGCTTCAGTAAATCGGAGACGTTAATTGTTTTCTCCGTGATAAATTCGATGATTTTTAACGTGACTTTTTCTACGTGAAACAAACAGAAATTGTAAATAAAGTTAAGAGAGGACGGATGACGCAGATGTCTCATTTAAGATAAATCTGAAGAAAGATATCCACAAAATATCTGTCGCACCACATGACTTCGTCAGTGAAAGTAACACAATTTTATTTCATGTTTCATCTGTGAGAGAAAAACAAAAAGTATTAATTAAGAAAACATGAGCATTTTACTTACAATGAAATTCTGACAAAATTCTTTGTTATCCCATCACGTTGCTTCTGTCACTAGATTATCAACTGTTTCGATTTAGAGGTTTGCTTACATCGTCGATAGCAAAAAAAAGAGAGTGAGAAAATGCTAAAGAGTGTTTTTAAATTTTGTTGTGAGCATATGTTTTTTAACGAAAAGAAAAACGTCAAGAAAAATCATAGATACAAAGAAATGCACCACCCCCACCCCCCGCTGTATCATCGGTAAGACTGATGAGGGTTTAAACGTTCAAAATCTGGTTTCGATACCTCGATGGGCAGAACACAGATAGCCCAATTTGCATTGTGCTGAGCAAAACGCGAAGAAGTGTTCGCTAAATTCACGAAGAAACGAAGAGCGAAAACAACCGATTAGGAATTCTCTTCTTGGTTTC